AGCCTACATGGTTCCAGCCAGAAGATGGATTCAGAGCAGAGTGGAAGGTGAGCCCTGGCCCCACAAGGACAAGAAGCAAGGAGGAGGATGAATAAGGGTGCATTTACACTGAAGAAACAATGCAGTTTGATACCACTTTAACTGTCATGGCTCCATCCTACAGAATCCTGGGGTTTCTAGTTTGGTGAGGCACCAGCACTCTTTGGCAGAGAGGGTAAGGGACTTTGTAAATCCCAGGATTTCATAGGATGGAGCTACAAAGTGGGGTCAAACTGCATTGTTTCTGCAGTGTAGATGCACTCCTGTCACCAAGGCAGGGAAGATATTGGAAAGATATAGGACTAAAAATGTGTCGTGCGAAAGGGACCCAAGTCCTTTCCCTCCCTTCCCTCTCTTAAGTGTCCTCTTTTCCCAGATCCCTGGGAACCATGCAGCCACTTTTGCGCCAAAATAGGCCTTGGCAAGAGTTTTCCCAAAATATCTTTCCCGCCTCTTGACTCATTTCTGTCTGAACATGATGCTCCCTTGAGATTCCTCCTGCTTTAATCTCAAATAAGTGCCAGACGGCTAGAGCGCTCAGCAATGGGGGTGCAGAGATTCAGGGTCCCAGGACTCATGGTCCACACCTCTGGGTTTATGGGAAGGAACTCTGTGTATATACTTGCTTGCCATTGCTATATGCTCAAAGACATCTTCTCCCTTCTCCTGCAAGGCTCAGTGGCAGAGTGCATTTTGCAAAGAGCTCTCCAGGGGTGGATCTACGCTGTAGAAACAATGCAGTTTGACCCCACTTTGTAGCTCCATCCTATGAAACCCTGGGGTTTACAAAGTCCCTTGCCCTCTCTGCCAAACTACAAATCCCAGGATTCTGTAGGATGGAGCCATGGCAGTTAAAGTGGGTGTCAAAGTGCATTATTTCTGCAGTGCAGATGAGATCTGAGTGTGCATCTATGACCCAAACCACACTGCAGAAATAATCCAGTTTGGAACTGCTTTAACTGCTCTGGCTCAGTGCTTGTTTTATATTGTATGTTTTAATTTTGTAATGGATTTAATAACTTTTTAAGTGGGGGAGGGATTCAGATTTTACTTTTGTATGTTATATTTTATTGTTGTTTATTGATCTCAAAGGGGCGGGATATAAATAATAATAATAATAATAATTATTATTATTATTATTATTATTATTATTATTATTATTATTATTAGGGAATCCTGGGGATTGTAGTTTATTGTGAGCTCTTTGACAGAGTAGGCTCAATGTCTCCACAAAACTATAGTTCCCGGAATTCCCTAGCATTGAGCCAGAGCAGTTAAAGTGGTCTCAAACTGGATTATTTCTGCAGTTTGTTTTGGACCCAAGTCTATGAGAGCCAAGGGGGTGCAGTGGTTTGAGTACTGGACTGGGGCTTTGACCAGGGTTCGAATCCCCGCTCAGCCATGGGAACTCCCTGGGTGACCTTGGGCAAGGTCACATACTCTCATCCTCAGAGGAAAGCCAGGGAAAATCTCCACTGAATAATGAATCTGGCCATGAAAACCCTAGCAGAGAGATTCCATAAGCTGGAGTCAAAGTGAACAACAACAACAACCTAGATCTATATTTATATCTGAAAATAGTGTTGTTAGATTTCGGTAATTGTTTTGAGCATCACAAATCTGCAATCCAGGCCGGGAAGGTTGAGCAATCAGTGGGGAGATGCTTAAACGTAGAAGAGCACAACGTCTCTGATTTGTCTGTGTTTGGAACGGAGGTGCCTTCCAGCGCTTTGGATATTAGCAAGAATTTCTGGATCCGCAGACTTAAGACCTTAACACCGCATGGTCTCAGCCGAGCGGATAATGCATAACACCACCATCCACTTAATAATGTTGACAGTTGAGTGATCAAAACTGCCACCTTGGACGCGGCTCCCTTTTATGCGGATCAACTGAAGAAGGGAGAAGCCAAATTTTATTCATACATATAGAAAGTCCTGATTCTTAATGGCTTACACACATACATAGGCAGACTGGTCTATCTGCATTTTAGGATCTTTCTTGGCGGTGTTGCTATCAGGACTGTTAGCACCAAGGGCTGCGCTGCAAAACTGAACACTGCACTATTGCTTTTGGCATACACAGCATACCCTTGAACATTGCACAGACAAAAATTGGGATACTTGTGTGAAAGTTATTTGATAAGGAAGAACAGAAAAGCTAGGAGTAGTTGCAGCAGTTTGCTTTTGCCTGAGCCGACTGGGAAGGGAAAGATTCTGCCCTCTCCTCTTCCTCCCTGATGAGTTAATTAAATAGAAACTATTTGTACTTTCAACTTTGTTTGCAGCAAAAGCTGAGGACAAAAGTGGGAGGAAGAGAGAGAAACTGAGACATTTTAGAAGCAGCTGGAAAAGTGGGAAGGAAGAGGATGAAAAGGGTTGCCTCAGTGAAACTGGAACAACTGATTAAGTTGTTATGTTGCTTCAGATTGTTTCCCACTTATGGCGGCTCTAAGGCAACCCTGAAGCAGGGTTTTCTGGGGCTGAGGGATATATGGGTTCCACTAGGCACAAGATGATATTAGCAAACCATGGGATTCTGCCCCCTTTCCTCCCTGCTGAGTCAATGGAGTACAAACTCCTTTTGCACTTTGAACTCAGTTTGCAGCAAATGAAGTAGGCTGAGGGCAAAGGGGGAAAGTGGGATCAGGAAAGAGAAACCGGGACATTTTAAAAGCAGCTTAAAAACTGGGAAGGCAAAGGATTAATGTTCCAAATTGCTGGAGGGTATGTCACACTTTCTCTAGTACTGGAGGAGACCCAGCATGGCATAGTGGTTTGGGCCTTGGACTATGACTCTGGAGGCCAGGGTCCGATTCCCAGCTTGGCCACGAAACCCACTAGGTGACCTTGGGTGAGGCACACACTCTCAGCCTCAGGGGAAGGCAATGGCAACCTCCCTCTGAGCAGATCTTGCCAAGAAAACCCCAGGATAGGTTCACCTTAGGGTCACTATTAACAATAAAAACCCCCCATAAAACTCCCATAGACTAAGGAGAGGAGGCCAACTTGATGCTATCTATGCAATGAGGTTCCTGCACAATTGCCATCCTATGAACCAAACTGTGTCTCTTTGTGTGTGTGTGTTTATTTCTCACTGGCCCAAGAGCAAGGAGGGTGTGTGCGTTTGTCTTTTCTCTTCCAATATCATGCAAGCCAAAAAAGCATCCCTCCCCGCACTCATTTGTTTCCCCTTTAAATAGAACAATGTGCTGCTGCCTGTTTCCAAGGCAACGGGATGATGGTCCAGCCTACTTAAAAACTACTCTCCATCCCTCCTGGTCTCCCACTTGGTCTCCCTGTCTCCTACCTGAATGCCACCCCATGGGACTGACCCACAGCACCCTTTCTGCAAGGCGGCTGAGGGCGATGCTGCTTGCAAAAGAAAACCATCGGCAAAACGTTCCCAAGCTCTGGAGGGCCTCCAAAGAGGGTGCATCTACACACTGTTGAAATAATGCAGTTCGACACCACTTTAGCTGCCGTGGCTCCTTCTTGCAGAATCCTGGGATCTGTAGTTTGGCACTCTTTGGCAGAGCAGAGGGAAGGCCTTGTGAAAATTACAAAACCCCAAGTTTCCATAGGATGGAGCTGTAGCACTTCAAGTTTCTACAGTGCCGATGCTCTGGAGACCAAGGTTCGAATTCCAGCTCGGCCATGAAACTCGCTGGGTGACCTGGGGCAAGTCGCACTCTCTCAGCCCCAGAGGAAGGCAACGGCAAAGAAATCTTGCCAAGGAAACCTCACGATAGGTTGGCTTTAGGGTCACCATATGTCACAAATGCACCCAACAACCACCAAGATGTACCGGCGCTGGCTGGTGAGAGGGTTCGGAGCCAAGGGCTCTCACCATTAGGACTCATTGCCCTGCCGTGCCCTCTGGCACTGTTCCCCATAAGGTCCGAGTTTGAATCCTGCGGAAAAGTCGAGAATTCAAAGGATACAGCCCTCCCCAGTGGATAATTCCTTCTGGTGACCAATGTCAGCTTTCATATCCATCTCTACTGACGGCTGTCACTCAGCCTCTCTTTCCCACAGCCTTTTAAAGAAGATTGGGAGAAAAGAACTATTTATAACGCATTTATCTATCCTAGCAGCCGCCAGAAGATGGTTTTTTTTTAGGCTTGGCCTCCTAGTTTTCCTCTTGAGTCTTTCCTCCCTTCCTCAGCCATCGATGGCTGGTGTCTTCGGTCTGAGCCCAGTCATGAATCCGCTTCTGAAATGCGTTTTATCCAAAAGTTTAAAAGGCTAGGCTAAACCCAATCTCTAAAATTTAATTCAGTGCCTTGGGCTGTTGGGCTGTGGTTGCGGGCCTTCAAGTCGTTCCCGACTTATGGCGACCCTAAGGCAAACCGATCATGGGGTTCTCTTGGCAAGATTGGTTCAGAGGAGGTTTGCCATTGCCTTCCTCTGAGGCTGAGAGTGTGTGACTTGCCTAAGGTCATCTAGTGAGTTCCATGGCCCATTGGGAAAGTGGGAAGGCAGAGAATTAATCGGGACAATTGGACAGTATGTAGAAGTTGCTAATTTGAGAAACAAGATGTTGGATGAGAGGGGCCTCTATTTAGTTTACCCAGCCTGGGGATTCTGGGAGTTCTGGTTGAAACAGCCACTCTTTTCCTTGTCTCCAGCGACCGGTCCTTCCAATGTTGTTGTGGTTTGTGCGGCACAGAGGGACCAATTGCACAGAGCCTTCTGTATCTTTGCAGTTACAGTTGTGAAAAATGTGGGTGAGGGTTACAGTAACGGAGGAACGAGAGGATCCTTTGGGATTGGAAGCCACATTGGGGACCAGGTGCGAAGAGCCTCCACAAACCCAATGTCTCCTCCTTAGGGATAAAGCTTAGGAGGGAGGCGTACTTTGCTACCCATTCTGACTTTGCATTGCAACCTACAAAAATAAAAAATAAAAAGGTTGAAAATTGCAAGTCTGAAATTACATCCTTTGCTAATGGATTTTCAGAGTTACAATTTTCAACCTTTTTATTTTAATTTTTTTATTTTTGTAGGTCGCAATGCAAAAGTGAGAATTTAAAGACATCAACGTCTTTTAGTCCGGAATATCAGTCTGCAAAGGCATCTTCTTGATGCACCTTTGAGACTAAAGAAGTTGATAGCGTAAGCTTTCGTGGGCTTAAGTCTACTTCGGCAGATGCCATGAAAAGTCAGGTTATTATTATTATTATTATTATTATTATTATTATTATTATTTTAAAAAAACAAGCAACAACCAGGAAGAAAATAACATCATTAAAAGAGATTTCTACTAGGCTCGGCCCTCCAGATGCAGGGTTCACAGCAGACTAATGATACTTTGCTTGTAAATGATCACTGCAAAAATTAGCAATGGTTTGCTTCCATTTTCCTGACTCAGAGCAGAGCAGATGGTCCTCAAGATGGGAGGCAGAGTTTAATGTAGTGGCCAGCATGCCTTTAGGTATAGCCACCCTTAGACCCTATTTCAATATGAAAAGTATATTATCAGCACTTTTTTCCCCCTTTTTGCAATTTTCAAGCCAGCAAACAAACAATAAAAAGATTGCAGAGGGATGTGACTTAATACTCTAAAGTTGTTCCTTCCACTCAAAAAAACCCCAGGACAAAATCAATGGAATATCAAGGCAGGGCAAAATCTCTCCAAATATAAAAAAAGATAGCAAAACCGCTCTCTTTCCAAATAAAAATCCCACCCCCCCAATATCTTTTCCCCTTCAATCCTGAGATTTCTAGTATCGCAGAGAGCGATACGTTGAAAATCGTTCACATCCAGAACTCTTCTATTTGCTACGTTTGCATTCCCTTGGTAACTCTCTGCTGTCCCCTTTTTTCTCTGGCTGTTGAAATTATGATTTTAAATGCTCTGTGGAAGTTTGAAGGGCCTGCAATGCTAGGAATTTGCTATTGCATTGATTAATCTTTATTTGAAATTGCATATATATATATATATATATATATATATATGTTACATAACAAAACATATACTGTGACAACGTATACAAGCATGTCTTGCATACTTACATACTTAATCTACACTAAAGTAGCATCCACAACACACAAATTTAAAACTACCATAGTTCCTTGTTTAGTTCTTTTGCATTCGCCAAGTAGTTTACTAGAAAAAAAAGGAAAAAAAATGTGCTTCACTTAATTTGTTAATTAAAACACTGTTTTTACTATAGTCATTTTGTACTGTCTCACCAATGTTCTTAAGATGTGCAGGAAGTTATTTTAGTCGAGCTTCCTTCCAAATCTATTATTTTTTCCAAATCATTTTCAAGCCTTGTGTCAGAAAAAATATGCAATTAAGTATAATTATAAATAAAGCAAGCATTTAAATTTTTCCTTGTGGTTGTCTGTGATATCCTTTTATCTATTCCTATTGCTATTGCATTGGAGGAGGCAGAATACTTATTTATGGTGAGGCAATGCTTTCTACTTGCCACTCCTGCAGTTGTGTTTTTGTTTTGTGCCTTCAACTTGTTTCTGAACTATAACAACCCTAAAGCAAACCTATCCTTTTTTTTTTTTTGGCAAGCTTTCCTTAGAGGGTTGGGGTTTTTTGTTTGCCATTGCCTTCCTCTAAGGCTGAGAGTGTGTGACTTGCTGGAGGTCAACTAGTAGGCTTCATGGTTAGTAGGAAATAGCCACCCAAGTAACATCTTCAAGTTTTGCCAGATCTGTTAAAGCCCTTATTGTTATTTATATGCCATTTCCCCCCTAATATGGGACTCAAGGCATCTTATAACAGTTAAAACAGTATCCTTAAAAATTGCAAAAGATTTTTAAAAAAATCAATTAAACCATCATAAAGTGAAAATCAACACTCCTAGTTCAAGGATCATACCACCATGGCAGCATCTGCACTGTAAAATTAATGCAATTTGACACTGCTGTAAGTCCATGGCTCAATGCTATGGCACTTGCAGTTTTGTGAAATATTTACCCCTCTCTCCGTCAGTGAGCTCTGGTGCCACAACAAACTACAGATCCCAGAATTCCATAGCACCGAGCCATGGCAGTTAATTAAAGCAGTGTCAAACTTGCAGTGCAGATGCAGCCTTTGCTATGCAGTCTCTATACCCCTGTAACTACACTCTTAGAAAGAAACCCCCGCATTTGCCTGGAAATGATTTCTGGTTTCTCAAAAGGGCAGCAGGGTTACCTGCAAAAGGCTGGGAGGAACAACACCAACCACAGCAACAACAAACAACAACAAACAACAAAATGCTCCTACGACTACCCAAGCTTGCTCACACCTGGTTTAATTCCTTTTCCCCCTTTAAAAATGGTCCAATTGCTGCAAGAGAAAACATGGCAACCACATTGGGGAACCCCCCCCCAAAAAAGTGTGTGCGTGTGTGTCTCTCTTTCTGTGTGTGTGTGTGTATACAGCAGCCATTTCAGCATTTTCCATCATACAGGGGCCCTTTCGCCCCGCACCGCTATGAGATCCATTTCCGCTGACCTTGTGTTAAGTTCCAAGGCACGGGTAAATAGCTCCAAAGAATATGCACATTATTAAATACTAGAGAACCTTCTAGGACCAAATTTATTTGTGCAATTACTCCCCCCGCCCCATGCAAGAATGAGGCAGCTAGGAGGCCTTTCCAAAACAGATGGGTTAAAGAAGCAGCGCTAGGGATATAATGCTTGGGACTATTTTGTTCTTATGTGCAAAGATGGATAATTGCAGCCGGTGGGAGAAAATGAAGATCCTTCTGCAGGATTTTCCCTGCATCCTAACACCAGGAATAAGAATAGAGGGATTATTCTGCAGAGGAATAATATGTGGTGGTGGTGGGGTGTGTGTGTGTCAAAATACATTCACATT